CGGCATCTCCGAACGAAAACACCATCATATTGTAGAGACCGGTCTTACACTCTTGCATCTTCATGCCTCAATGCCCCTCTCGTACTGGTCCTATGCCCTACCTCCTACCACCTATCTCATAAATCGCCTTCCAACGCCCACCCTCTCAATGAAATCACCGTTTCAGTGTCTCTTCTCCACCACCCCAAATTATGCCAAACTTCGAGTCTTTTGGTTGTATATGTTATCCATGAATTCGTCCCTACGCTTCTCACAAACTACAGACCTGCTCCACTCCTTGTGTTTTTATTGGTTACTCTGTTACTCAAAGCGCCTATCTATGTCTTGATCTCTCTACAAACCGTGTATATGTCTCCCATCACTTTGTTGAGTCCCTATTTCCGTTCAACTCTTGGTCATCACCCTACCCCACAGGTACTAGCCCACCTACTGACCCGTCGTCCTCTTGGGATATCCCTCATCACTTTGTTCCCCAACCATCTCCTGTGTACTCACCAACCGTCACCCCATCCTCACCACAAAGCCTAAACCCCACTGCCTCAACCCCCATATCCCCACTATCCAGTCCAGTGACCCACACTCTGCCCAGTCCAACACCTCTGTCCGAGCCCTCCCCACCCCCAGTCCCCTATCACCTGAGGCCCCACCTCCACCGTATACTATCACCATCCGGTCAATGAATAATATCTCTAAGCCTATTCAAAAACTTAACCTCACTGCCCAACATCTTCCTCTTTCTGAAACCGAACCGACAACTATGTCACAGGCTCTTTCTCATTCCTCTTGGCGACAAGCCATGTTCGATGAATTTATGGCCCTTGTTCACAATGGAACATGGATATTGGTTCCCCTGTCTCCTTCTCAAAATGTTGTAGGGTACAAATGAGTCTTTCGTATCAAAAGGAAACCTGACGATTTGTGGATAGGTACAAAGCCCGGTTAGTGGCTAAGGATTTTCATCAACGGCCAGGGGTGGACTATAGCGAGACATTCAGTCCAGTTAATAAAACAACCACTATCTGTCTAGTTCTCTCACTTGTGGTCAGCCAATCATAGCCTCTCTGACAGCTTGATGTCAATAACGCCTTCTTGCAAGGCACTCTCCATGATCAGGTTTTCATGATGCAACCGCCAGGGTTTATTGACAAGGATCGCCCTGACCATGTTTGCTCTCTCCAAAAAGCTCTCTATGGACTCAAGTAGGATCCAAGAGCTTGGTACCAAGAGTTGCATGACTATTTGCTCTCTCTTGAATTTTATAACTCTCTAGCAGATGTGTCTCTGTTTATCTTCTCTGATGTAGGTATCACTCTTTATATTCTAGTCTATGTGGATGACATTATCATCATTGGTAATAATTTGGCCCGGGTTGACTCCATTATTGCCTTACTTGGTCGTCGTTTCTCCATCAAAGATCTTGGTCCACTTTACTTCTTTTTGGGTGTAGAAGTTGTCTCGCATTCTCTTGGTGTTGTTCTGTCTTAGCGCCGCTATATTATGGATCTTCTCACACGGACCAAGATGGCCACGTCCTGTCCTATCCATACCCCCTAGCGACGGCGACCTTGCTCTGACATGACAGTGGTGTACCACTCTCGGACGGTTGTGACTACCGCAGCATCATTGGCGGCCTCCAGTATCTTTCCCTCACCCGTCCTGACATCTCCTATGCTGTCAACAAGTTGTCCCAATTCATGCAAGCTCCAACCACTGATCACTTGAATGCTACAAAACGGGTCCTTCGTTATCTCCAATGGACTATTGATCAAGGTCGTCTTCTTCGCCGTCAAAGTCCTCTCTCTCTTCATGCTTACTCAAACGCTGACTGGGCCATTGATAAAGATGATTTCTCCTCCACCAGCACGTACATCATTTTCTTGGTCCATAACGCTATCTCCTGGTGCTCCAAAAAGCAACACACTATTGCCCGCTCATCCACAGAAGCCGAATATAGATCAGTGGCGTCCACGACCGCGGAAACTAGATAGATCCTCTCACTTCTTACAGAACTCGGCATCACTATCCCCCTTCAACTTGTGATTTATTGTGACAATGTTGGTGCCACTCAGCTCTGTGCCAACCCAGTATTCCACTCTCAAATGAAACATGTCACTATTGACTATCATTTCATCAGGTAACATGTTCAACATGGTATTCTCCGCGTCTTTAATGTTCGCTCCGAAGATTAACTCGCTGATATGCTTACAAAGCCTCTTCCATCCACGCAGTTTACAAACCTATGCACCAAGATTGGACTATCTTCCGGACACTCCATCTTGCGGGGGCATGACAGAATATAATATTTGACAGAATATAATATTTCCTACCATCATTGTTTATCTTATTACCATGTATAGTTGTTACCTTATTTATCTTATTACCATGTATAGTTGTTACCTTGTAATCTACTTACCATATATAGTTGTTACCTAATAGGTCTCTACATGTGAGATCTATAAATACTCTTGTATTCTCCTTATATCAATTCAATTCGAAAATTATATTCTTCCTTTTATCTCTTCAATATTGTATATTTCTCTTGTGATTTAATCTTCAAGTTCATGTGTAACTTGGAGAGATTATACTCTTGATTCATAGTAAAATATTTTTCTCTGGATTGCCCCGTGAATGTAGACACAATTTGCCGAACTACGTTAAATTTTGGTGTTTGTTTGCTTATGGTATTTTTATTGGTGCCGTGATTCGTTTAGTGTTTACTTTCGCAGATTAATCTCCATAAAATCCCTAATAATTTGTATCAGAGCTCTGGTTTGAGACGTACTTTGGGATAAAAAAATGGAGAGTTTTGGCATAATGATGAAATTTGATGGTTCTAATTGGTAAGTATGAAAGTCTAAAATGAAAGATATTTTATATTGTAAAGATTTACATGACTCTATTGAGGGAGAGGGAGATGAAGCCAAGTCAGAAAAGATAAGTGATAAAGAATGAGAGAAACAACACAAGAAGGCGATCAGTTATATTCAAATGTGGATCGACGTTAGTGTATTTCATCATATATCAGGTGAGACTAATGCAAATCTCTGTGGAAGAAGCTTGAGGGTCTCCACGAGCATAAGACGGCGTGAAACAAGGCATTTATTATGAGGCGGTTGGTGAACTTGAAATTCAAAGAAGGAAGTAGCATAACATGACACTTGAATAAATTCAAGAGTTTGATTAATCAGTTAGCTACCATGAAGATGACTATCGATGATGAGCTACATGCTTTATTGCTATTGGGTTCTTTGCCAAACAGTTAGGAGACGTTGGTTGTGACAATTAGCAACGCAGTTCCAGATGGTGTGTTATCAATGAGTATGATTACTAATAGTTTATTCAATAAGGAGACTCAGAGGAATTCCAATAGCACAAATAACTCACATGCACTTGTCATGGAGAACAGGGGCAGGAGCAATTATTGGGACCAGTCCAGAGGTCGTAGCGCATCCAAGAGCAGGTCAAAGTCTAAAAAGATATGTTGCTTTTATTATGGGGATGCTAGGACATATCAAGAGGAATTGTTGTGCATTGAAGAAAGAGTAAGCTGGGAACAAAGATGAAAAGAAAGATGAGAAGAAGAAAGCTGACAGTGACACTACAGTTTATTTTGTCTGAGACCGATATTATTTTCATTTGCAGGAAAGAAGACTGTAATATGCATGTTACAAGTCACAATTCTGAGTGGATAGTGGATACATGAGCTACATGTCATGCTACATCCAATCGAGACATTTTCACGTTATATAAAGCAGGTGAATTTGGCAATGTGAAGATGGGCAATACCAGCTACTTTAAGATTGTGAAACTTGGTGATATACACTTGCAGACAGATACCGGATGCACATTGATCTTAAAGAATGTGCGACATGTTCTCAATTTACGTCTTAACTTGATTTTGGGTCTTACTTTGGACCTAATGGGATATGAAATATCTTGGCAGAGGCTTTTGGAGATCTTTGGTTATCTTCGAGCTTCGGCAATCTTGAGCGATCATCCTTGGAGATTCTGAAGCTTTGGAGCAACTTCTTAGCCTATAAGCCGATTTTTAGTTAAATCAATTTAACTCTTTTACAGAGATTGTAACTCACTCTTAGTTCATTAACTCGTTAAGAGTTATAAACCAATTTTCAGTTCAAATCAACTCTTTTACAAAGTTTAAACTCGCACTGAGTTATTAAACTCGTTAAGAGTTATTTTCAAACTTGCCATACAAGTTCTCCTCAACGTCAATCAAGAAGAAGATATCGTGTTCCAATGAGATGAAACATTCGGATCATCAACGGGATACAAGGATCCGAACTCCCATCGATACCAAAAAGAACCCATGTTAAACAAAGGAAAGGGTCTCCGTCGATCCCTTCTCTCTTTTGTAAATCGGGAAACCGATCGAGAAGATTGTATTTTTTTTCTAAGTTTGTTAGAGAGGGATTTGCATTGAGAGAATTATAACTCATTCTTTTTCAAAGTCTGTTAGAGAGAATAATACAAATCAAATTTTTCATCTTCTTCTTTCAAGTTTCCCACCAAACAAGAAGAGGATTTGGGTGATCTATTTATAATAGGAATAGGTTTGAAGAATTCTATATATGAGAGTCTTGCAATCAATTTTGGTGAACATTAACCGCTACAGTACCGTGAACAGTAGCCGAGAAGGGAAAAAAAGGAGAGGGGGAAAAAGTGAGAGAGAAAAGTTTAGATTCCGGATAGCTCGGTTATCCGATTGTAGTGATTCAAAAACCGTTGTCTTCAGAATGACTACGCCGTCGAGGGTACAATGCTGGTTTCTCCATGTTTGTTAGAGTTTTTTGGTGAGATGGTTTTTAGGGTTTTGATGTCCTAGATGTAACACTGTATCTTTTTTTTTGTGATTTAGTCCTCAAGTTCAGGTGTAACTTAGAGGGATTGTACTCTTAATTCATAGTGAAATATTTCTCTCTCGATTGCCCCGCGGACGTAGGCACGATACGCCGAACCACGTTAAATCTTGGTGTTTGCTTGCTTGCTTGTGGTATTTTCATTGGTGATGTGATTCGTTTAGTGTTTAATTCCGCAGATTAATCTCCTTAAAATCCCTAACATAAACAAACCATACTGAAAATTTTGTGAAAAGTCATGCAAACTAGAAAATTTTGGGAAACGTATATTACAATATACTTACGCTTCTTATTTCAAGAGTAATAACAATTAGAATTAAAGTCTATTGCTCAGGTAAAAATACATGCATTAACATGGCATCGAGTCCAAATCTTTACCACATTTTTAATAAAATCTGATTAATTAAATATACACATGGTATTGTTAAACATATGGAATATGTAAATTGATATTTCATGTAATGAATGAATAGTTCAATACTGATTTTATATACGAATCAATCAAGAACTAATTCACGTCAAAATCTCCAACCAAATTGTCAATCAAACCTAGAGTTTGCTATGCCTACGATAACATCATGATTCCTAAGATGTTTTACTCGAGACAACGTGACACATTGATTCAAGAAGTGAAACTAATTTGGATCATCTTCTAATTCTCCTTGGTGTTTATTTTATACAATGAAATCCAAATAAATTTCTTGGACATCTTTTCCTAGTCACTTTAAGAAAATCTTTAGCACTATATTATGCATTGACATTAGAAGATATAATGAGCCAAAAACATTTTATTACTAGAAAAGTTTCAACATAGTTGGGCTGATTAAATGAGATACACGTGATATTATTAGTTAGGTCGAGTACGGATCTAGACGTTTGATATATATATATATATGATGAGTAAAAAGTTCTTCAATACGAATTTAATATATACAGATCAATCCAGAACTGATACCATTAGATTTGTCCAACACGATCGCCGCACTCAACAGCTCGAGGGGCTATGCGTTATTAACCGGAGTCACAAAACACCGTCTACATGATGATTTTATGTCCGAGAAGATCTAGCCGAGTTGGTAAGATGTCTATGAGTAGGACTTCAGTATCTCTATGTTCGACGATTTCTTTACTAGAAATTAGAATGCTAATGTGTCCCAAAAAATCGCTAATGTGTCCCAAAGAAACTCTGAACTAGGATCTGACACGAGCAGACATGAACAGCGTAAACTGCCTCTCACATCTCTCAAAAGAAGCGACGAGGGGCTTTTAAAGCGAACGCACAGGCGCTCCCTCCGCCCTGGTCCCCCGCGCGCCGCATCCCCGCAAAAGCCGCCCCCGCACCGCCACCCCACCCACCCACCTCCACCCACCCACTTGCATGCTACTGCGCCAGGCTGCGGTCCCAAAGTCGCGTGCCGATCGCAGGACGCGCCCAGCTGAACCTACTGCCATCGTGGCCGTGACTCCTAGCGCGCGGGCGTTAGGCTTTCGCTAGCGCCGCGTCCCCCGCCCTAGCCTCGCATAGCTAGGCTGGCTGCTTCCGCCTTCTGCCGTCGATCGTCAGCACTTGCGGCAGACTTCACTTTTTTTCCTTCCGGTGGACAGCGCTACGCTTTTGCCTCCGCTGCCGTCGAGAGCGCGTTGTCGCATGAAGGCCCGTGATCAGCACATTTTTCTCTCGTTAAAACTCAGCATGCAAATTTACGTTTTCTTCTTCTTCTTTTTTAAATACAAATTAATTATCTTGTATAACTTAAGCAAGTGCGTGTGCAGTACATTTGTTAATTTGCTCCTATAAGGCCCGTTTGGTTGACATGAAGTACTGCTACTATAAGTAGGAAGTAAATCAAATTTGTTGCTTTTAAAACTATGTGAGGTAGGAAATAATGAAATTAATACTTTATCATAAGTTCCATAAGAATTTAAAAGTA